GTTCTGTGGATCTCAGTAAAGTCTTGAGACCTGAGATGAAGCCTCCTCAGGCAGTCGTTTGACTGCTGACCTTGGGGCTACCGAAACTGATTTTTTTCACACTGGCGACTGAAGCCAGCGCTGCTCTCAGTTGTCACATCATTCATTTGCTCTTTGAGGTGAATGCAACTGCCTGGGCAAAGCAGCCGGTGCCAGGAGCTGTGGAGGAGTGTGAAGATGCTGGTGTGCCCGGCAAGGCCGAGCTGTGTCTGGCAGAGTCTGGGCTGCTGAGAGCAGAGCTCTCCGAGGCTCTAAGGTCCCGGTAGGTGTCGGTGGAGCCAACCAGAGAGGCATGAAACACGGGGACAAGCGTACGTGCTGCTTCCATGCAGCAGCTGCGTGTGCGCATCCTTCCACCCACATGACGGGGATTCAGCGCTGTCGTTAAATATTCTTCATTTATCACTTTCTCCTCTTGAAAATTTGTTACCGCTAGATCTCCCTGCTGGGCATCGGCGTGCTAAGAGCGAGTTGCCGTGACAACCATGAAATGCATCTTCTGCTGAGTTGCACTTGTTGGCTTCAATGATTTTTCAGGGGGAACGATGTGGGGTTTTCCCTTCTGAAGCTGTGCTTGGAGGAGAGTGGGATGTGGCCGCAGGTTCAGGCAGGGTTGAAATCCAGTGTTCGTTTTCCGTATGGAACAAAGCCCATTGCGCTGAGCAGAGTGTTGCCAACAGCAGCAGAGCATAAATAATGAAAGTGAGCGACACAAGGTGTTAAAGCTCTGACATAACGATATGTAGCTCGTTGCCCTAAAGAGACTGAGGGTACGAATGTGAATTGTGCATTGGTTTTTGATTCTTCACAAATTTTATTTTATTGGCTAGTGGGAAAGATGACCGGTGCACTCATTTTGCTCTGTAATTTTTAAGTTTCTGAGCTGTAGTTAATAGCTAGAAAGCAGAAATGCTAATGTTCAGATTTAATGTTTTGTCCTATTGTCTTCACAGTAAAAAAATCACAAAATTTTGAAAAGATTCAGCAAGAACATTTACTGGGATTTAAAAAACTGAGTGAAATAGCAGATTACTATTCCCCAAATCAGTTCTTTTTCTTCTTTGTTTCCCACTCCTCATTAGGGTTTGGCGAATAGTTTTTTCATACTTAATTAAAAGACCAATTGTTACATTTAGATGAAGAATGAATTGAAAACACTTTTACTGCCAAAGCTGAGGTATCTTGGTCAAAAAGCAAATACTGAATTTCAAGAGCTTCTCCAGTGTAACACACTGTAACTTCTGTAACACTCCATGAAGAAGTGAATTTGGGCTGAATATATAAAGTTTGTCTCACCTGTGGTTTCAGGGTAAAAGAACTGGCCGAGATAAGGTGCGTCCAAACCAGAGGAAGTAAGATGACGTGCATGTCTTGTTTTCTTTTAAGATTAACTCTTCTGCTACTAGTGCAGACTAATTTATCTTTAACATACTGTTTTCCTGGTTGGTTTGCTGCAAGCTGGCTTCGGTGTGACAATATCGTGTTTTCATCAAAGATGTTAAGCCAAGCAATCTGATTAATCCAGGGCCTGGAATGCCTTCTTCAGCTAAAGCAAGTTTTAATATCCATTTTCAGTTTTGCATGTGTAAAGCTCTGCGTCACAAGTTGCTCTCCTTACACGCAGTTTTTCTATCCGAGGGAGCCCTGGACTTCTTTGTTCCTCCATGGTTAGTTCTGTTGTTAAAACAGCATCCTCAGGAGTGCTGGAAATCACTTCCATCCAATGTCTGTCCTATTTTTAGTTCTTAAGTTGACCTTAACAGAGCATAAACCTCAAACAGATTCTCTTCCCTTCTCGTAAACAGTAAAGCTATTCATCAAGAGCAATCCTGGATGCAGAGGTGACAGAAATAATGGTGTGTGCTTTTACATTTCATTTATGAGAATTAAAATGCATCACTAATGTAGTATTTTCTCTAGCATATTTATTTTTGTTGTGCTCCTCTTCTTGGCTGTATTTTAACAGTAGCTTTAGTTTGTAGTCCTTTATATGTAGTATCCATGCCCGTAGCCTAATTTTGTTCCAGTAGCTCTGGAAATTTTTTTGAACACTGCTAAGAAGAAGACAAAATGGTCTGCCTGAGGCTAAGTCGTAATTGAAACATGTTGCAGTAGCTCTTAATGCATCATCTGTGAAATGTTTTGGTTTGGATTATTATTGTTTCCTTTTCTTTTTCTCACAGTCCATGTTTGCCAGCTTTGAAATTCCTACTAGATTTTCACTAGGACCTTAAGCCAAAAAAAGGGATTCACACGCTAAATGTGAGAAACACTTTTCATCATGCTCATGAATGGCCAGTGGCCTGTCTGAAGGGAAATATGGGTCTTTGATAAGGTGATTATTTAATAAGGTCCTTAAGCCATTCCACCGGGATCCACCTGCTTTCATTCAAGTCAAGTTGTTCTCCGGAATTTCGTGGGTGCCATGTTCCTACCTTTTCTTACACACTTTTTACACCAGGGTTCTTTCTCTCTTTACACACACCGATGCCCCGAGGTAGCTCAGCGCTTGGGATGTGGTGGCCGGGACTCGCTCCCCATCAGTGCCTATCATCCGTCACGGCCCGAGGAGCTCCTGCTCCACCTGGAGCAGATGGCACAGAAGCCACCCAACCGAGCAGGAGGCAACCGACGTTCTCCTCAGAACTCTACCATGTGAAAAAGAAATAAGCAGATTGAGAGCGACGTCTTATTTTTTTAAAAAAAAAGATAAAACGTGGAAGTAGATGAGCATGTCTCCGGCTCATTGAATGTCAGTGTTTTCTTGAGGGTGCAGAGAGGCCTTGGCTTGGTTCTGTGATATTATTTTAAGATGCCGCCTTCGGATCCTGACAATTTGATCTCGCGTGTGTGTGACGGAGCAGGGTGTTGGCAGCGCTGGCAGCGGCCGCAGGAGCCTGCCGTGAATCTGCCGCTCTTTTTTTGTGGGAAAAGAGCTGTTCTGCCCCGAGCCGGGGCTTGCAGCGCTGCAGGGAGCCCTCGCCCTGACCTTGGGAACAAACCACCGTGGAGCAACATTTCGTTTGTTGTTTTGAATGACACGCTTTTCAAACAGGCTGCCGACAGCCTACCCCGTGGGTTTAAAATATAAGAAATAAACCCAGTGTTTTCCATTCAGTGCCTGATCTGGATCTCCCTTACTTGGGGAAAAGAAGGATATTGAAATTGCTTCCAATGTCAGAAGAACGGGATCTTTTATGTGAGGTCCCGTGTGTGAGAGCATCAGAAAGACATGGCCAGCAAAGCTGCTTCATCCTAGAGAAATAAAGAATATTAGGATTTTTCTGTTCTCGCTTGTTTTGCTTATGGCTCAGTCTTGTGTCGCAGCCTTGAAGGAGCTTTGTCCCAACAAAGAGCTCCGTTACAGACACAGGATCTGCCTAGGGGACATCTGTCCCCCGCAGCACTGGGGACTTGGGCTGGTGCCCAGGACTGGCTCTTCCTAAGTGTTTGCACAGCGCGTGGTCCCCGTTAGCTTCTCCAAGTGCTGCTTTCATACAAGCAAGTAATAATAGTGGGGGAAGAAATTCCATGTTTTAAGCTGTATTACAGTTAAAAGAAGAGAAATCAAACCTGCCAAAATCCATATCCTCGTGGAAGAGTATTAAGACTTTCTGCATTTATTGAGTTGCAGGAAGAGTCATTTGGTCTGAATATACTTTTCAAGTAATGTGGTTATTTTCTCAGGGGATTACTTGACATGACTGCCTGCAGTGGCAGAGGGCTGCAGCCTGTGAATGGAGTTGTCCCTTTCAAACTTGTGGTTTTAAACATGTCTGGGGAGGGGAAAGTTTGTACCTCCCAGTTTTCAGTGAGACTGCCAAAGGTGTATGCCGGGCCAGGCTTTTACAGGGATTATTTACTGTGTGACTTTGAATAAACTTTAATTTGTATAATTTACTTTATCTGTAAAACAGTGATAATACACAAATACCATCCTTTCATGGTGCAGTGGGAAAAGCAGTTATTCTTGGATTGCAAATGTATGTCAACAGCAGAAAATAAATAAACCATATTGGAGGTTACACACCAGATAGATGAGGGAAAGCAGTTATATCCCAAAGTATCATTAAACCTTTTTGGCCTTGCTTCTGATGGTATATGGGACTATTTTGAGGAAAAGAGGGATGTTATGTTGTAGCCTGCGTTATGTTGCGGTGAGTCTTACCCTTTTCTCTTCTATTAACTTTGAGATTTGAAATGCAACTTAACTCGAGCAATTACATTGGTGTCTCATATGAAATACTGAGACTGTTGCAACCTTCTGCAAACCAGACTGCCTTGCCAAGGCAGAGCCTTTGTATGTCATATTTCCCTTCCTCCCTTTTCCAGATCAACACTTGATTGAAAATCAAAGTTGATTGTTTTGCTAGTTTGAAAGTGGCCATGTTCATCTGCATTAATTCTCATGTGCTGTGTGGTTTTTTTGAAATCTAGGTTATTTTTCTTAATGCATGTCAAAGATGCTCTAACTCTTGCTATGCAGTGATGCTAAGAATTACCTCTTTAAAGAGAATGGATTGAAGAGACTGTTAATTTCCTAGAATACCATAAATAGATTATAGCATGATATTTTTGAAGGCCATTTTTCGTATTTCAAAATAAAAGCACCAGATAAACCTGCTTTGGGCATGAGAAGAAGTGTTTTTTTTTTTCTTTGGCTTTGGTTTTTGCTTTGGTTTTGCTCTTCTAACCAGATAAGTATATCTGCTTTTATCTGGTTATACATGTACACAGTTTTACACTTTAATTCACTCAATAACCTCGAAAGTATTGCTGGAATGAGCCTTCGACATTATATCTGTGCAAATTTTGTTATGCAGCCTTTCTCCTGGGAATGCCACCTCCAGTATGGTCATCTCTAATTGTACCCTTCACCCAGTGATCCACTCAGTCAAGAAAACGGGCTACACTTCTTACTTTCCTATTTTTGTGTGTGTACGTGTGTGTATGTTCTTCAGAAAGCCAAACTCGGGCCAGCTGGTAACAAAGTCATTACTCCAACAGAAGACAAGAACTCAAGTGTGCCATCCAACAATCTGGACAGGGTGAAGCTGACAGATTTCAACTTTCTCATGGTTCTTGGAAAGGGGAGCTTTGGGAAGGTAGGAATTCTCAATAACTATTCCACTTACATTCTTTTTTTTTTTTTTCTATCATGAGGAACAGTGAGTGGATAATTCTCTAAGAAGCAAAATCCAGACTCAAAAGGATGTTTATTTTTGAGGGAGATTTTCTTAACACGGAGTAGGATGATTCTGTAAGGGCTAGCAAGTGTCAGTCATGAGTGGCAGTTTTCTTGAAAAGGTAAAAATAAAAGACCCCTCAGACTGTTGGGAAAGATGTAAGGAACAGATGCTGACTTTTAGATCCTCCCTTCTTGGCAGTTTCAAGGAAATTAAGTCTACTTTTCTGGCTTTACTACCTAGGTCACTCTGCCACTTCTGGAAGTCACCCACATTGGTAAGGCTGAATATTGGGGAAAACCCAGGAAAAGTATCTATATATTTGTTAGCCGAAAGAAAGGACTGCTATTTTTCTGACTGTTTGAACAGCCACTGATGTGATAAAATGCCCTTTACTGAAGAAGTCCTTCGGGACTTAACATTTTATCAGCCCGTTGGCAATGTGCCCGCGATTAACCTGGAGGGTTTTGGCACAGGCTTTGTTTAAAATGACGGGTACAACTCTTGCAGTGGGTGAGTAATGATGGTATTTTTGGCGTTTTGATCAAGCAAGTCTATACCAATAAGAGGAAGAGCTGGATTGCCATCTATACAGATCTTGGGGCATATGAATCACCTTCCCTCCTTGGTGGGGGGGACGATTTTCACCCTGTCTGTCTTTGTGCAGGTGATGCTGGCAGACAGGAAGGGGACAGAAGAGCTCTATGCAATCAAAATACTGAAAAAAGATGTGGTTATTCAGGATGATGATGTTGAATGTACAATGGTTGAAAAACGAGTTCTGGCACTGCAAGATAAACCACCGTTCCTGACACAGCTTCACTCTTGTTTCCAAACAGTTGTACGTGAGCTCTATCTTTCTCACCACCCTGATGTTTTCCATATGATGTGATCAAGGATTTTATCAATTTGATAACATTTATTATGATCCAACCTATATATCATAGCTTCTGCACATAGAAAATGCTGATGGAGGAGATACTGCATGTAATTACCTCTTTTTTAAATATAAAATGTAGGTTTAAAGATTTTTCTAGATACGGTAATTCAAGCAGACCAGTGTGACAATTCATAAATTTAATAATGTGTGCTTTGCTAAATCAGAGCCTTAAGCCCAGATTCCCAAAGATTCCTAAATACTTTTGAGGATCTGGGGATAGTACTCGAAAAGTCATGAAAGCTGTTATATCATGAGGTGATTAGTCAGGAATCAATGCTGACGGATTTAATTTAATTTTCTGGCATCCCTGGCACAGAGGATAGCATTGTTCTTTTTTTTTAACCTTCCTTCCCTGTACGTCTGGGAAGTGGACATTCTTACTGGAGTCACTTGGAGAGCTCCCTTTCAGTCCTCTGAAAAACGAGGGACAGACCTTTTGGTTTAAGTCTTATTGTCTGAAGGTCACTGGATGAGCAAACACTAAATAGTCGCATAGGTTATGGTCATGTGTTTGATCTGAGATACCTGGATACGGCCTTTAGAAGTCCTTATGTAAAAGAAAAATGTCCCCACAAAAATAACTTATTGCTGTCTTCTTCTCGCTGAAATATATGTCTATGAGAAAATAGTTTAGTGTCACTTTTAAAGGTTCCAGATACTTTTGTAAACCCTGCAATAACTTTTCTTTTTGTCTCTTTTTAATAATCAAAAATGTATACTTTTAATACCTCAGGTCTTCTAAAGGAAAACTTATTAGGAAGGATTGGAAATGGCCTCAAAGCAAGAATTTTTAACCATACTTTATTATTTATTTTTAGAGAGACAGATTTTCAAGACAGAATTATGTGAATAGTTATGGGAACTGCTGTAGACACATAGTATATAAAAGTACATCACTAAAATTGGCAAATCTGGACAGATCTCATCAGTCATTTACTCTTGCAGGTTTTACAAAACATTCCAGTTCCATTTCCTGGTCTATCAATTCTGCCAAAATGTACAACGAGTCCTAATATTCTTAAAAGCTTTATAATAACTTATTAGTGCCTTTTTTTTTTTTTGCTGATCAATGCATATCTAATATTTTCTCTAATGTATTTGTGCGTGTCTTTAACACTTTTCCCTAGGACCGTCTGTATTTTGTTATGGAGTACGTGAATGGTGGTGATCTCATGTATCACATTCAGCAAGTAGGAAAATTTAAGGAGCCACAAGCAGTGTGAGTGTTCACATTTATTTATTTAAGTCATCATCTTAATTTTACACCGTCAGAGGATTAGATTTCTTCTTCTTCCCAGGTTCAGAATGAAGTCTAGGCTGACCTTTTTTGATTGTTTTTTTAAGGCTGAAGTTTATGTTTAAAATGTTGTTTGCACACGTAGGGCAAAGGTAGCTATGCCTTTTTATTCAGAAACACAGCACAAACAAAGGCATGCGATGTCTACTTTAAAAGTGACAAGAATTTAAACGAGGCAACAGGAAATTAAAGATGTTACTTGGTATTCTGCTGTTGTTTTTAAAAGTGAGCATAAAAAATGTGAGTAGCACACTTGAGTCTCAATGAATGTTATAGGGAAAGGCAATATAAATAGACTCAGCGCTGCAAGGTAAATTATAGTTTATTCAAGACAAATTCAGTGTATATCACGTAAGAATTTCTGTCATCCTACTTTTTTAGAGAAGTTTTATTTGTGAGCAGTTAGTAAATTATTAGAAGCTGTTTATACACATGATTCCTTTTAGGTAATTGTACGTCTGGCATATCAGTGAGCAACTGGTAATGATCTGTAGCATACCCAAATGCGAATAGATCCATCAGTATCATTTTGGTCATGCTTATAACATCTCGTCATCCTTTAGTCGTGTTTTGTAAGTCATTTACAAGTGAAACTTTAAAATCAAGTGCGACCAACTGTTTTAAGAATTCAGCTAAAACAGTTTCTCATTTCAGTTTAAGTAATCGGGGCTCATTTAAATGACAGGCCTTCTAAATATAAGTATTAGAGATATAGAACAAAATTTCAGCAGCTTGCTGAATAAAAACTCAAAGGTGTCAGATCATCCTTGACTCCCAGCAAATGTAACTTGCCAACACCCGCTGAAGACTCCGGTGCTGTGTGACAGCTTCTGCCTGTGGAGCATCTTCCAGCACGTGTGTTCGCAAACACCTCTCATCAAGCTGAGCTTTCCCTTCCCTTATGCTAGCCTAAAAATTAATCTCATCTTTAAATAATCCTCTTGCATATAATTTGCGCAATTCCACAGCAACTGACTTCAAGCATCCATCAATATTGTATATCTTTTAACTGCATTCTGCAATTATATTTTGTATGGTAATCATTTTCATTAGCTTTATGTAATTATTCCATTAACAGCCTGTACAAAGGAGTACTGTTTCTGCAAATTAACTCGTGCCGTATGATTTGCAGTGTAAATTGACCTGAATTCTTTAATTCTGCATTGATATGTGCTTAGAGATAAGGACCTTTGCAGGCAGTTAGATCAGTGCAGTAAAATGCTGTGCTCCAGCTGCACCATTTTTTGTACTCTAGGGAGACATTTTCTTTTTCTTTTTTTTTAATTCTGCATTATTTTATCATCAAATACTTGAAATGTATCTCTTAAAGTCAAATCAAAGAGGTCTTTTATGTCACCTGCCTGTAATATATATATTTTTATACTTTAATATATATACACTATGAATGTTATATAATTTATGTGCTGTTGTACTATCATTCTTTATCATGATATATTTCCAAAATATTTTATCAGAAGGAAATCATGAAGCAATAAGAAATCTGTTGGGTTTTTTTCATACAGGTTCTACGCAGCTGAGATCTCAGTTGGGTTATTCTTTCTCCATAACAGAGGGATTATTTATAGGTGAGTATAATCTAGCATAAGTAATCTCAGTATTATTTTTAAAATCACCAGAAGATCAATTTATTTAACATTTCAGTGCATTTTTAAAAGCATTTTATAAAAAGCAATCACTGGACCGTTCTTTTTGTTGTGTCGGTGCTGGAAACCAAAGCCACGGCTCCGCTTGAGCTTCTCTGACCTCTGTGCGCTGCCCAACTCAACTGAAAACTCTTGAGAATGTAAAACATTGTCTCATGCATGATGTTTAATAGTTTTTTGTGTTTGGAAGTCTCGGTGTGAGTGTGCTTGTGGGCATTTAGAGCTCTCTCTTCGTTAACTGCCCAGGTTCAGGTCATTCTTCTGTCCCTGCAGTGAGGTGCCCAGCTCCATCCAGCCTGCCGACAGCCACGCGTCTGTCCCCTCTGCCCCCCAAAGAGCTGCACATGTTCCCCGCCCAGACTCTGACGTAGATAAATTGAGCCCTAGTTGATCCTAAACATTAACATTAAATTACTGTGATTCTTCACAGAGATCTGAAATTAGATAACGTGATGTTGGATTCAGAAGGACACATTAAAATTGCTGATTTTGGGATGTGCAAAGAACACATGTTAAATGGAGTGACAACCAGGACCTTCTGCGGCACTCCAGACTACATTGCACCAGAGGTAAATACTTACCGTTTCAAGAACTTTTAATCCCTGAAATGAGGTGTGTCACCACACGCATCTCACACCACCAAGTTTTGGTAGCTGTGTCTCTGCGTACTGTGTGGACGGCACCGTTTGCACTTCTGGAAGCTTGTTGGATAACTGTGAATTAACACAACGTTGTCAATAAGGCTTCACTCTGTTGATTGATGACCTAGCTTTTTATGAGATCAGTGCTTCAGATTTTGTACATACTAGTAAAAGGCTTAAAAAGCTGGATCACCACGAGATTTTAGATTTGTAGCCTGGAAATGTTATTCGGCTAAACTCAATGCTTCAATTTGTGAAGTCACGGAGAGTTCATGGGCGTTATTGATGAGGTCAGCAAACATTTTACTGGGAGCAAACACAGTTATTTAATGTATTTCTCCATAAGTTCACACAGCTGAAAAAATACATATATTTAAAGGGTTGTTTGGCATTTTCAGGAAGTCGCAAACCACTCACTGATTTTTGGAAAGTGACTCATGAGGTCTTGAAGCTTTTCACTGTCCTCCGTTTAAAGCTCCTGTAGTCTTTTCCAGGCCATGTCTTACACGTGGTACACAGGTGTCACGAGTTTCTGCTCTGGATCTCAGGAAAACTCCGGTCATTGAAAGCCTGAACAAAGCTCTAAGATTGGGGCTTGAGTGGGGATGATGTAATAAATACATTATTTGCCTTGAGTAGTCTGTGACTTGGTGATACCTGTGCTGCTTTCAAGCCACTGAAAATCCCATTTGCACACAAACCTAATGCAGTGGGTCTAAAATGAAAATTTGATCACAAGGATCACAGTTCTACTTTAACGTGCTGTGATAAATACGAGCTTAGAGTTAAGATTTTCAGGCTGGATCTGATTTGTATTTCAATAGTTTAGATATAAAACATTAAAAACAAGCACATGTGGTGATTTAGAAATGATTCAAATATATGAACATTAAAATCTGGTATTTGTGCATACTGAGCTTTCAAGAGTCTTGATTTGTTTGGCTGCAAATTCAATGCAAGAAGCTCTACGCTGATCCAAGATACTCAGTGTTTCACTGGATGTTGGGCAAGAGGCAATTCTGGCTGGAACATTTCTGGCTCTAATTGAATGTTTGTTGGAATATGGGAGATTTATACATGAACGAGTAAATTAGTGTCTAAGGTGAATTTTTTCAGCTCTGTGAAAGGAAAAAAAAGATTGTTTTTTTCCCATTGCTAATTCATGTTTTTCAGAGTGAAATGTTGTGTCTTATAAAACCTTGATTTTTTCCACAAATTGCTGTTGCTTGCAGCAGGATGTCAGAACAAACAGGGCAGTATTTCATTTTCTCCTGTCAAAACATAAATGAAGCCAATATTACAAATTAAAAAGTGTCCTTTCTCTGGCCAGTCTTGTGCCAGTTAATACCAAAGAACGTGTTGTCAGTGCCAAAACGCTCAATATGGGTCAGCGTTGCAATGATTTGTTTTACTTCATTAGGAAATTTCATATAAAAAAATAACCCTTTTACCAAAACATTCTGTAACTGGGAGGAAATTAGTCTTTTCTATTATCTTACAAACAGATATTTATTTGGCTGATTTTCTTTCATTTCTGAAGACGTTATTGTGACTGACAAATTGCTAACTGGGTCGATGGTAAACTTCAAAGTGAGATTCATGTTTCGCTTGCGGGAGCGTTTCAGCACGTTTCCACGGGCGAAAATTTATAAATTTATAATAGATTATAATGAGGATTCATTTGCACGGTACCATTCCCTGCTGGGTGGAGATAAGTGGGCTGAATCTGAGCAAACTCTTGAAGATGTCTAGAGTAGGGTAGTCCTGCGAGTGTGTTGCACTCAACTGCAGAGAATTAGCTCTTTTCATCAGTTTTTGGGAAATAATGTTGT